GAAGTTAAAAGGAAGGGTTGGGAGGAAATAAAGGGGGACAGGTAGGATAGCAATTCCACACAGATACACACAAACCGCACAGAGAGATTCATTTATTTTTCCCAGAGGTGGTGGACATGAGGAGGGAAGTGGACCCCCAAATAGTCAGTGGAGGTTGACTGTAGCCAATATTACTCATTTGTTATCAGCACACATTAGATCATCATCTAACATAGTGTGATAAAGAGGATTCATGATCTGTGCAAATTTGTACCTTTTATAAACAACTAGAGGCCCGGTGCATGAATTCATGTATGAGTGGGGTCTGGCCAGCCCGCCCTGATGGGGACCCATTCGGCTGGGCTGGTAGGGGGGAGGGGCTGCAGGCGGTTGGCTGGCCGGCCCCGCCCCCAATCTGGGTGTTGGGGGCCTATCAGAGCCAGAGCCCGGGCTGGCCGGGGCGGGGGTCAGGGGGGAAGCCCTGATCGGGGCCCAGATCAGGCTGGTTGGTTGCCGCAGTGTGTGTCATAGCCACTGGTCATTCCGGTCGTTCTGGTTGTTCCACCGTTCTGGTCACTGGGTTTTTATATATATAGATACCATGCATATGAAGTCATTTAATTCTCATGATACTCTGGTGATAAGTAAAATAAGATATAAATAGGTTCAAACTCTGCATTTTGTTCAGCCACTTGCCTTTTTCTTAACATCTTGGACAGTTTGTCATGTCAATATGCATAGACTTATCTAATTCACTGCAAATGCTCTAGAGCATTCCAGTGTGGATATACTCTGAGTAACTGAGCCACGGTATACAACAAACACTTGTGCATTGTTTTTTTGTGAAGCTGTAGCTAGGATCAACAGATTATGAAAAAGAAATGGAAGACCAGAAAGTGTAAGGCTCCACCAACAGTTGGTGTTCTCGCTCTCAAGCCCAGATCCCTGAGAGCTGCTGTGCGGTGGTTAGACACTAGCAGGAGTGTGATGCAGGCCTCTGGGGAAAGCTGAAATGTCACCTGGGGGACTCACCTGCTCCAGATCCTCTGCTGACCTTTTGTTCTCTCCTGTTGGATCCTGATATGGCAGGACAAAGAGCTCAGCAGCCGTAGGTAAACCAGGGAGCACCGCCACCAGGATGTGGGGGCTCGGAACCCCAGTGGCCTGAGGGGGAGAGACGGAGGAGCATGTAAGTCCTGCAGGAAAGGTGATGAGAAGGGGCCAAGCATCCAGCAGGGAGTGGGGGTGGGGTGGTAAGAAGACGCAAGGGGGTGTGGGTGAGGTGTGCAAGCAGGGTCTTGGGTGCACCTTGTAGGAAAGGATGTGAGAACCAGCACTGGGCTGCAAGTGCAGGCTCAGAGTCAGACTGTGTGAGGTTTGATCTCAGCTCCATCCCTGTGAAACCTTAAACACGTTACCTCCTCTGTACCTCCATTCTCCCAAGTAAAAAGTGGGGAGACTGGCAATACTTATGAAAGGGTGGTTTTGAGAATTAAGTAAGTTGCACCTAAAGCATCGGTAGTCATGCCTGGGGACTCAAATGTTAGCTCTTCTTCCTACAGGCCATCTCTGGTGAGTGGACCTTGCCAGGAGAAGACCCTCACTTATTAAACGTTATCATCTGCCCCTCACGCCTTAACCCTTTTAAACCAAACTTCCTCCTTCCTGGTAGCACTAGAGTTACTCCTTCAAATGGACCAATCACATCTGGTTGAATGACTCAACCTAATATAACTCCCCCATATCACACCCCTCAGGCACCTACTGACTTCTCCACATCACAATAACCTGAGGACCAGCCCATTTCATGAAGCATGTTGAGCCCTTCCCTTTGTCATGCCGAATCCTGTTAACATTACAGTTACCACTCAAGGACTTCCTCTTAGTTCATTTGCTCTATTTTCCCCAGCGTTTCCCGAGTCCACTCTCCAGATGGTCCTAGAATCGATCGATAGCTCCAATCCCAGCCATACTCTTCCTTGGTCAGTTAGAACACCATTGTTTCACTAGGACTTCCGACATTCATGTCAAAAAAGGACCTTCTCATTTTCAGCCGTAAAATATCAATGACTCAGGGTGGTCTTTTCCCAGACACCCTTGCTCCAAGCCTTCCATTCGCTTCTGACATTACACTCCCCTCCAAGTATTATCTTCCAGTCTGAGAGATCTTGACAAGTCAACCTCCATAGCAATGACCCTACTGGTTCCCTCCTGTTTAAATACCCGCTGTTAATATCCCAATTCAGCATTTACATACTCTCTCCCCTCAAGTTTTACAATAATCTCCCCATTTCCAGGAGCTTGGCTACTACTTTCAGATTTAGTTTCCTTCAGTCCAACTCAAACTGTGTTTGTCTGTCTAAATCGTTGCAGTAATTCACACTACCAACTGGATTGAATATATATTCAAAGTCATCTCCAATATGGTCCTCCTCTTCCTTTCCAAATGAAATTAACCACAACTCACACAGTCATCTTATGCTCCAGCCAAATGAAATCATATACAATTTCTCAGAATTACAGCCTTCTCCTGAAAATGTTTCTGTGTGTTCCAGCTTCCTGAGAATGTCTTTTCTCTATATTGGCTGCTGAAACCCTACTCTCCTTCATGAGTTTTCTTTCTAAAGTCTGCTTGCTTCTATATATTTTTCAAGATTTCCAAATTAGGTGACTTTTTTGTTTTTTTCTGAACTCCACCTTGATTTAAAGTTGTAAGACATCCCATTTATTGGGTCCTTCCCATGTGCCTAGCATTGTGTTAAGCAACTTAATATTTTGTAATGCAACCTTCCACAACAACTCTTTTATACAATTATCATTATGCCCCTCTTTGTTGGTCAAGACATATCACAGGTTGGGGTCCTCAGGAGGCTGACTTGAGTTTAGCATTTGGGGTGTTTATTAAGGGTGCTCTTGGGATCAACAGCTATGGGAGTGAAGAGAAGGAAGCAAGAATGAGCAGAGGGAGAAGTTGAGCTGTGATGAAGGCCCATGGCAGCCTCGGGTGGTCTTACAAGGAGTAAGGATGGTGCTTCAGGTGTGTGTGAGGTTAAGCCAGGCCCTTCTCTAACTGCATCAGTCACTGGATGTGAGCACTGACATGACCTGGAGCAAGGCAGGTGAAGCCTCTACCCACAGCACTCCTAGCAGTTAAGACAACAGTGTTTCCCCGAATGGGGATCTGGGCAATGCATCTCTATTTCTGTCACAGGACAGATGGCAGATGGAGGAAAGGGAAACAATGGCTCAAGGCCACCTAGGTAGTGAGTGGTGATGATTAGTCTGGGACTTTGGTCTGATCATGAAGCCTCTGTTCATCACCAGTGCTCTACCACCTCCCTTTCCCTGACAATGATCACACAGCGGTTCCTATCACAGCCAATATTATACTGTTCTATGCCCCTACTAGATTTTTAACTCAAGTTTGTCTAAACCATCCTTATCATACTAAAAAAATGCTTAATGAAGACTTTCGGTGAAAGATCCCATGGTGAAATGTCAACAGAAAAACCCCATTTGATGAGAAAAAGGTGATTGTTGAAAGTATCACATATGTCTCCTTTTCCCCCCATTGACCTCTCCCCATCTGCTCCTGCCCCCCAGCACATGCCCTCAGCCCCCTACTGTCTGTGTCCATTGGTTATGCTTACATGCATGTATACAAGTCCTTTGGTTGATCTCTTACCCCTCCCCTGCCTTAATTCTGTCATGTATTGAACAAGAAAAGTACAAATAAGTTGACCACAAGTTGTACCTCTTGTTGGGTTTATTACGGTAAACTTGGCAATGTGATACTTCAGGACTTAAGAAAATGGCCAAAGACAGGGTGGGGCACTAGGCACCAGGGGCTGGGTCAGCTGCCTCTTGGGACTGGGGAACCAGGGAGTTTTCAAAACTGCCTCTATCCATCACAGCCTGTCCTGAGGGATGTTGAGACTGTTTATTCTGCATTGGGCTGATTATGCTATACGTCAGCCTAGAAATATTCTTGCGCAGTCATTTCTAGCCCACTAGACAGCTGGTGGAAAGGTGGAGGCCCAGGGCATCTGATCCCCAGATAATAAATATGAAGAGAAATCAGCCTAAAAAACTGATCACTGCTGAGCTCATGCCTGGTTGATAAATCATGTGGGGACGTTGAACAGCTGCCTGGGAGATCGACAGGGACATGGATCCCTAGAATGCTGCAGACTGAAGGAGGAGGGCAGTGAGTTCATTGAAAGGCAGGCGTCAGTCATCTCTCTAGGACACAGAGGAGAGAAACCAGGTATCACACCAGAGCCAAATAGCCACAAGGGCAGAAGGGCTTATTCCAGTGGGTCCTGTGGTCTAGCAGCTGCGCCATCTGGTGGCCATAATGTATAGCCACCCATAATATGGATGCTGAGTCCTGAAGACAAATGTTGAGAAGGCATGTACACAGAGGTGTTTGAAGATACCCCTTCCCCAGCACACTGTTCCACTTACCCCTGTTTCTCCATATAATAAGACAAAGGATGGAAGCAGAGTGGAGTGGTTATGAAAGTATGAAATCAAGACTCAAACCTTGATGGTCTGACTCCAGAACCTGAATTTTAACTGTTACCTTGGACAAGTTATATCTCTAAGTTCAGTTTCCTTGCCTGTAAAATGGGAATAATCATACTATCCACATCCTAAGCTAGTTTTTTAGTGATGAAATGTGTTAAAATTGCAATGGCACTGAGAAGAGTTTTGGAATATTGTAAGTGCTAAGTAAATATCAACAAAAATAATAGTATGAATATGGGACAGGCCAGCTGTTTGCTAAAAGGGTGGATGCAAGATCAGTTTTCTGAGCAAGGTTATCTGAATGCCTTTAGCCAATATCTCTTTGTGGCATTTACTATCATGTATTGGGTGCAGGAGAGAATGTACAAAAACGTACACCTACATTGACTTTCCTTTGGGGGCTAAGAATATACCCGAGGAAAAAGTCTCTCATCTCTGATTTTCTGGGTGTGGGCAATAATTCCAAGCAGCTCCATAAGCAGACATCCCTCCTCTGATCATTCATGAAAGTGGAGTACCCACAGGGCAGTGTGTCTAAAAGAAGGTGTCCTCTCGAAATGCCAGTGACATTTGCTTAGAGAGGAATACATCGCATCACCTGGTTATTTTCCCAGCAACCCCAGGAGCTGTGTTTCACAGGTAACAACCCAGACATTGGACTCAGAGCCTTCAATTCAACGTTCTGCCTTCATCACTTATTAGCTTTGAGGCATTAGGCAAGTTAACCCCTCTGAACCTCAGTTGCTCAATCTGCAAAAGGAGGACAAATAATACCTTCCTGCCAGGGCTGTTGCAGGCAACAAATGCCTTTAAAAGACCTGGTCATAGAAGGATGACTAACCATCATGCTCCGAGTGCTCACTGTGCTGTTATGCTCACCGTCTGTGGAGCTGGAACCCAGGGCTGCTCTTACTAATTGGATTCACACTGTCTCTCAGCATTAAGACACGTAAAACCAGACGCTGATTGTATACTTACTAGTGGCTCATCATGAACTCTGCAATCTGACTGTATCACAAACTCCCACGCTCTTCTCTGAGTAGAGTTCATGGCCACATATTTGTTTACAGTTTCACCCCCCAGAAGCATCTATGATGCATCTGCAATCACGGAGCTCAGCTCTGCAGATATCAGACAGATCTCCCAGGGGCTCCAGATCTCTCCTGTCGTTTCTTTGCATAAGGATTCCCTCACCGTGAAGCTCTTCAGGGACAGTCCCTTCTCAGCCTGGGCAAGAGAGAACCGTGTGCACTCACTTCCACCAGGGACTTTTTGATGACTCTGCTGATGTCCCTCCTCCACTCAGGGATGTCCGGGTTGTAGTCGTCCAGGTTTGGAGAAAAGGACAAGCGAAGAGATCGAAATTCCTCTGGGAACACAAGAGTAGGGTGATCACTGTAAGTCAAGTAGTTCTCTCAAGAAGTCTGTATACTTTGCATTGTATGCAAAGCCCTAATGAAGGGTCCATTTCCTCCACACTCACCAGAAAGACCCTGCTAGAAGGCAAATTCAATATCCCATCCCTGTTATCTCCCGCTCCTCTTTTTCCAGAACAAAGCCCTAGGCCAGGGGTCCTCAAACTTTTTAAACAGGGGGCCAGTTCACTGTCCCTCAGACTGTTGGAGGGCCGTACTATAGTATAAAAAAAACCTATGAACAAATTCCTATGCACACTGCACATATCTTATTTTGAAGTAAAAAAACAAAACGGGAACAAATACAATATTTGTATTTGCATGTGGCCCGAGGGCCGTATAGTTTGAGGACCCCTGCCCTAGGCCCTGGTCCCTGCTCAACTCCGAAGCCTTTGTCCATTGTCCCCCAGTTCCAGACTCTGTACTCCTGACATGAAATGACCTGGAGCGCCCTGAAGGCACCTCAAGTTCATGACCTTGGGCCTTTGCACACACTATCCCTTGCCTAGAATGCCCATGTTTCCCATCTTCCATGCAAACTCAGAGCATTTACTAAATGAGTGCCCTCTCCCATCTTGTTTTAATTTTCTTTTTTATGGCACAACTGCATTTTGCATACACTTTCACTATTATTACATGATTGCATACTTATAATTATTATTATCGTCATTCTGTTGCTATTTTTAAATCTTTATTGTTCAGATTATTACAGATGTTCCTCTTTTTCCCCCCCATAGCTCCCCTCCATCCGATTCCCACCCCACCCCAGGCCCTCACCCACCCCCCACTGTCCTCGTCCATAGGTATAAGATCTTTGTCCAATCTCTTCCCTCACCCCCCACACTCCTTCCCCCTGAGAATTGTCAGTCTGCTCCCTTTCCATGCCCCTGATTCTATTACATTCTGTTGCTATTTTGCGTTTGCATGAAAGTTTTATGTAATGGAATTTAAAGCTCCTCAGTTCAAGGGTTTTCTTAGTTGACTCCCTGGTCCCTGAGTTAGTCCCACTCCTCCAGGAAGTAGGTGGGATTACAGAAGCGAGAATTTTATGAGGAGAGAGTTGGAGAAAAAGCCACAGGAGCTTGAGCACCCCTGACTGTGATCACAGACGGGCTCTGCAGTCTGTGGGAGGTTCAGAAAGACTGTGGGAGAGTCTTCTAGCCAAAGTCAGCCAGAGGAGTCCCCTGTGCCCCAGGAATGGATCTGCCCTGGAATTCCTGTCTTAGTCACTGGTGGGCATCCGCACACAGAAGGTGTAGCCTTGGCCCCAGCATGGTGCTGGGTTTCAGAGCATAGCCCAGAACCTTAACTCAGCTCAGCATTTGGCACATGGCTCCGCACAGCATGTGGAATACAATTTAATAGATTCTTACCACAGCCCCCTCATCCCACACAACCCAATAGTGACTTTCTCTGCTGCCTCATGTCCTGCAGGGTCCCTACTCCAGGCCCCTGTCCTTCCCTGGGTTCCTCAATCTGCCCACATTAGCACCATGCTTTCAGGTCCCTAGGCCAGTGATGGCGAACCTTTTGAGCTCGGCGTGTCAGCATTTTGAAAAACCCTAACTTAACGCTGGTGCCGTGTCACATATAGAAATTTTTTGATATTTGCAACCATAGTAAAACAAAGACTTATATTTCTGATATTTATTTTATATATTTAAATGCCATTTAACAAAGAAAAATCAACCAAAAAAATGAGTTCACGTGTCACCTCTGACACGCGTGTCATAGGTTCGCCATCACTGCCCTAGACTATAGCATTCTCAACTTTCTTATCTTTCAGGCTCTCCTGGGAGAACCCCCTCCCACCAGCCACTTTGGTATCCTCCCTTTCACCAACTCAAACACCCTCCATCATATGACCCTGCTTATCTTTTTCATATTTCTTTTTTTTTTTTTTGCTAAAAGTATTACAAAGGGTATTACATAAGTGCCCTTTTTTCCCCCCCTCCCTTGACAAACCCCTGCCCTCCCTTACCCCCCAGTGTCTTATGTCCATTAGTTATGCTTATATAGATGCATACAAGTCCTTCGGTTGATCTCTTACTCCCCTCCCTCCTGTCCCCCAACCCTCCCTGACCTTCCCACTGCAGTTTGACAGTCAGTTTGAGGCAGCTCTGCCTCTGTATCTATTATTGTTCAAAAGTTTGTAATGGTCTTTATTATCCATGAATGAGTGAGATCATGTGGTATTTTTCCTTCATTGACTGGCTTGTTTCACTTATTTTGTTTTTATTGTCTGTTTCCCACTGGAATATAAATGCAATGAGGAAAGGGGTATTGTATTCCTGGCTCTATGAAATAGTTTCTTGTTCATGGCTTTTCAATTCCTATCTGTAAGTCATTTAATGATTAAATTTTTCTGTTGAATAAATAAATGCATGAATTACAGTGCAGGCTCTCTGTAATTTCTACATTTACTATTTAACTAACATTTCTTGACTTAAGCGGTTCCTTGTGCTTGGGGGTTCAGCAACAAGGGCAATGCTGCGTACACATTCAGGAAACATAAACACCCACTTGCATTTCCTAACAATGCAAGGACTCCTGGGACACAAGCTTTGATGACTCCTACATGGTAAGGTGTGCATTAGTGGCAGTCCAGAGATGTCTATTTTCAGAGTTTGACTATTTTACGAGTCACTGGTTACCAATGTGAATACCACCATGTCCGTTCTGATGGCGAGCAGTGAAATGCATACTAATTAGTAGCCTGGTCAATGGCAGTGCTAGAAAATCACCCACTGAGTCCTAACTTTTCACTTCAAAGGTATGTTTATGTCATTTTCACTTCCCCAGAACCTCTTATCAAACTGTAGAAACTTCATCTACAAGGGAAGATGTTTATCTTAATAGAAGGACACAAATGATGAAGGTCCCTCTGAAATTACTTAGCATGTTAAACAGTGGGGCGGGGTAGAGGGGGATGGCTGAGCAATGTTATACTTAAGTTCATTCAACAAATAGGGGATGCATGTGGGAGGACTGAGAAGGGTAAACATCAATAATACATATGCACATATACATCCACACACATCCACATATACATACATACATACATACATACACACATACATATATACACACACACCTATATATATATATATATATATATATATATATATATATATATATGTGTGTGTGTGTGTGTGTGTGTGTATATATATAGTAGCTGCTGAGAGAGAAATTCTACATATTCATATATTCTTTGTTGTATTAAAAGAGTAAACCTGTGCCCTGAAGCACATTAAAGGAAATAATAAAAAGGAGATTTTCTTTCCTCTGGTCTATTACGTGTCTTTAGGTGGATAATCTTTCCTCTGTCTACTTCCCAAATATGATGCCTCCTTCAGTGTGACCATGATGGCCTTAATGTTTCCCTCAACTTGACTGCATTCCAGACAGGTTCCTTCCTGACTATAGATCCCTGACCTCTCTTTTCTAAGAGCATTTACTTTGGCAAACTTGCGATTGTAAAGTCTTTCTCTGCCCCTTTGAGATATAAATCTTCTATAAGCCATGAATAGCTTTCTCAAGGACCAGGGAGCCATGCCTTTCAATGTCATCATCAAGAAAATAAGACCCCTACCACTGAGGGCGGGGCAGGAGCCTCACTTTCTAAGCACCAATTAGCAAACAATGTCCTAATGACATTGATAATCCCCCAAAGTCCTCTAGTACTTTTCCACTGGCTCATCCCAGAGTTTAAACATCTCCCTGCCTTTTGTTTAGGTTGAATTAAATCTTGCCTAACTCCATGTGCTGCAATTTGCGTTTAATATGTCAAAAGTGTCATCACAATTTTCTAGTCATTCATATGCAGCTCTGGACAACTCACCTGACTAAAGACAAATTTAGAAAAGTGTGATGGTTCAGGGACTTGGTTAGAGGAGGGGAAGCCACTTCACCTTTTTCAGTGAAGATAACCCATCTGAAGGGGTGACTCTCTTTTGGATTATGCCTTTTAAGGAGTTTTAGGAAGAGGAACAACTAAGTAGCAAAGTGGTGGAAAGTGGTTAGAAATGTTCCCTCTGAATTCAGAGTCTTAGACTCTGTTTACTATACTTACCTCATATTTTCTCATTTGTAAAACAAGGATAATTATAGCATATTTCTCATAAGCCTTTCTCAACTCTGTTCAATAAAATAGATCATATATATCAAGTGCTTAGAACAGATGCTGGTAATGGTTCCATCAATGTTAATTACTAGCACTACCATCATTATTGGATCTGTCACTGAACAGCAGAATAATGTTAAGTCAGTAATTTCCCATTTCTGGGCCACAATTTACTATCTGCAAAATGACTAGTTGGACCATGTAAGCCTAGAGAATACATAGATTTAAAGTTCTCTCTGTTGTTCTAGTAAGAAAATATTTGATACTCTTAACCAAGGGGACATCTGTGGGAAGAATGGGTCAGTGCCCCTAGTGACCCCTGTGCCATCCGGGAAGATGAGAGAGGCAAAAGAGCATCAGGTGGAAAAGACATGAGAGCCAGCGCAGTAGGGAAATCTCAGAAGCATGAGTCCTTGGTATGGATGTTCTGTGTTGGAAGCCCAGTTCCACCATTTACTAGACAGGGCAAGTTACTTACCCCTCTGCAAAAAATGAGAGTAATAATTATACCATCATAATTAGCTAGTTCTTATGAATAGGAAGAAAGCAAAAGGGAGCCAGGCATTGCCATCTGGGCAGCTTTACCAGGAAGCTGAAACTTTACCCTCCCCAGAGAACCATGGGTCCATTCCCTCCAGATCACTGGGGGAAGGGACTGGACAAAGGGGGGATGGATGCATGAGCAATAAAGTTGGGGTGACATAAGGAAGGTGCCTGTTGGTCTAACCTGGAAGCAAAAATAATTGGCTAGAGGAGGTGGGGCCATTGAAAGCCCGGGAAGATTGGGGGATACATAATCCCCCAGACAACGGAATACTTCACTCTCTTTTGGCTCTCTTGTTCCTCTGGCTTGGCTCCTGCTTCCTTGCATTTACCCATGTTCCCTCCATCGCTATGTGGCAATGGGCTGATGGACTGCAGCTGGGAACACAAGCTAAGTTAGCCTGGGCTATGCAAATATGGAACAGAACCTTGAGCAATAGTTGTAATCCTAGTGCTGCTAAAGACACAGCTGGACTTCTTCCTTGACTGGATGAAGGAAAATGGGATCTTGGAAAATCATGGATGTAATTTCACACAACTACAAGCCACTCAATCTCCTGTGCGAGTCTCAGAAAATTCCTCTCTTGTGACATGGCAAGAACCCCACATTCACCAGCAACAGATGGGGATGCAGAGAGCTCCCCACCAATAACAATAATATCACCTATCCTACACTGGGGTTGTTATGAGGATTCAATGCATCCCAGGGCATAGAAATGGGTAGAGAAGTAAAGAGAAGAAAATTTTCCTCCTGATTGAACTCTGGCTGGGCCATTGCCTCACTGATGGGACCTTGTGAGGGAAATCGCAGCCCTGGTCTACTTTCACTTACTATTGGGCTTCTCAATTTCTTGGCAGGGGTGGGGGTTGGGGGAAAAGGGAGGGGACATTATGAAATCTAACACCCAGCTATGCAGGGAATATCCTCCTCAGACACGTTCCAAGTTGCTTACAAATTACTTTCTGAATTTGAAGGTCAAGTTGGCAATATGAGAAATGAGAAATAGAACCTGCATCAGAATCAATTAATTCTGGAACTGGGACAATTGATATTATCTGAACCACCAGCTGGTTTGGCTATCTATCTATCTATCTATCTATCTATCTATCTATCTATCCTCTCTCCCTCCTTTCTCCCTCCCTTTTGTACACTCTCTCTCTGCACAGCATTTACTTTCCCTATCTTCTTTAAAATTATTTTTTTAAATTTTAATTTCCATACTGCATATGTACCACTTCCATATCAACAATAAAAGTTTACATTTTTGTTATCCACTAATAACAGTGCATCCATCTGAATATCCTTCTATGCAGAAAATAATTCCCAAATGAGCTCAATTTGTATAAACTGTTTTTTCAATCCTCATTTTCAATTAATAATTCCACCTTTCCAGTTCAGTACATTTTCATTCCATCTAATAATCAAACCATATTCAACTTCCCCAATGGATTACAAAATTACAGTGACTTGTTCAAATCAATATCCAGTATATGACATCTGCCTGTTATGACCCTTCCATCCCTTTTAATCTAGCATCATTTTTATGATACAGATTTGTGTAAAATATTTTCAGAGTATTTAGATATTGGCAGATTCCTTAACGTTGACTTTTATAGAAAGCCTCAATATTAACCATTTTCTTTTATAATCGATTTTAGCTATTCAAACAACACCAAGATGCCAAATGGAATGGAAGAGCCTTACACATCATGAAGCTCACCCTACCTAAGGTGAGTGAGCGAATGGACACTCTATGTGCACCAGGGCCACTTGGAGAGAAAAACAAAACAAAACAATAAACCCTCTGGGGTCTTGTGACTACTATTTTGCTGGGGTCTCTTCCCTAAAAGAGGAGACCAGACCTGACTCAGCTCTTTCTCAACCACTGTCCTCTGCGCTGTGGTTAGAGGTCATAAGCCAATGGCCTCTGGCACTCTGGTACCGAGTAACCTCTGAGCAGGGGGGCAGCGGTGAATCAGTGAAGACAGAGTACTCACCATACACTGCGATGGTCTTGGTATCTTGCAGAATGGCATTCCCAGCTGAGACCTGCACTGTGATGGTGTTCATCCCTTCAGAGGTAAACTTGAATGATATGCTGCCTTCCAAGGTGATCAAGGGCTAGAATAAACAAAAGCATGGAGTAAGGGCAAAACTATATATATTATTGATTTCAGAGAAGAAGGGAGGGTGAGAGAGAGAAACATCAATGATGAGAGAGAATGACTGTCTGTTGCCTCCTGTACACCCTTTACTGGGGATCAAGGCTGCAACCAGGGAAACAAACCTTGACCTCATGTTTCATAGGTGGATGCTCAACCACTGAGCAACACTAGCCAAGCCAAAGCTCTTCAGTTACAGAGGAGACAGCCACCAGCAAGCATCTTAAATCAGTGGAGGCTCTTTTTGGTGACATCTGACTCCATCCATACCTCCCCATCATCTCAAGTCCAGACCAGAAAGGGGCTATAGAGCCATGGCCCCAAGCAGCCCTGCCCATGCCTTCTGAATTTGACACTTCTCTCCTGGCACCATACTGAGGGCTGGGAAGATTGATATGTTGTGCTTGTTGATGGGAATACATGTGTCTTTATGGATAATCTACTCATATTAAGCAGATCCTTTCATTCAAGGAAACATTCAGATCAGACCAAAAGAGAGGGCCATATGAACCCAGATTTAAGCAGCAGTCACTGAAAATCTACAAACTGCCAGTTGCTTATCTCCAGAGTATACTAGTCATAATAAATTACAATGGAACACAGCAACCGTGAACACCAAAACCACAGTAGTTAACAGGAATGGCCTGGCATGGCTGGGCTTCCTCTGAGAGGCCTATCAGCATTTCATGGAAGCAGCTTCCATGGAAACAAGTACTAATTGGATGGTGGTTTGAGGACTCAAACAAATAAATAAATAAAGACAATGACTTGGACCAGTGCCTGTGCTACAATTGGATGCCGGGGTCCTGAAGGAAAAGATTATTAGCCTATGACCTCCCTCAACTCACTCCCCGCAATCATTTCTTTCCTGTCTTTTCTTAATTAATTTTAAAATCAAAAGTCATTTAATTCCCTGGATGGCAGAGGGAAGATGAAAGCCAGCATAAGAAGGTTGCTCAACATGATCTATTGAAAATGTGGTTTTCTGCTAAAAGGTAAATAATAGGAGACAGAGAATAACATTGTTTAGGACTTTCACCTTCCAAGACTAGCTTTCAATAACATAGATTTCTACTCTCTCACTGTGGGTCATGTCCTCTCAGTTTGGGCTGAATTTACATGTATAGTTTCAGAAGTAATAAAAAATGGGCTTCTTTTCAGCTGAGTTAATGTTAACTGTAGAGATGAGAGATTCCTTCCACTGTCAGGCTTGTAGCAGGGCTAGAGGGGAGTGTTCATTGTTGGCCTGTGCAAAATTGTCTGGAGTTAAAGCCAAAGTTCAGCTCTGGGGTAGAACAATATTTGCATTAAAATAAAATGCATTGCATCAGAACAGTTAAGTCATCAAGAGACAGGGACTCTGCTGGAAGAAGATGGGGCTTCCAGTCCAGGGCAGTCCGTCCTGTGCCCTATGCTGGCGGACACTCTGGGGCCTTATTTTAATTTATGAGAATGGAGTGAGTTCAAAACTGAAACAGAGCACACGGCCAGGTATAAGGAGAATAAGAATCCGTGTAGGCATCAGAAGGCCTTGGATCTGATCCCTGCATGAAGCAGCTGAATGGGATTGGAGCAGGCCACTCTGTCCACCTCTTCCTCACTTTTGTTCATCTGCCAAACGAAGGACTCAGAGTAAATGAGGTGAAGGTCTCTACTGGTTTAAAAATGGCTGCTGACTTTTGATCACGGGGGATGTTCTGGGAAAACAGAAAGGGTAAAGCTGACTAAAGAAGTTGGCATGTCTGATGCAGGGTGAGGAGGCCATTTGGGGAGCTGGGTGGTAATGGGTGTTGGGGAGCACAGGAGACTTGGTTGGAAAGTTTGTAAGGAGGACATTCTGAAAAAAGGGAATTGTGCTGAAGACAGCCTGCCATGTTGATCAGAATTCCAACTTAGGGGAGTGCCGAAGGTGGCGTCCCTAATTTTTCCTTGACCTTTCCAAACAAGTCTGTACACTTGCAGACCCCCGGGTGTTTACTGGAATCCTCATGCTTAATCTTGGGTGTCCTTACTTAAAGGACACTGCAAACACATGTGCCCTTGATTGTATCTAAAAGATAAACTTTATCTCAAACTGCTGTTACAATAAAAGCCTAACGAGGCAGGCAATCGAGGCTACCTGGTTCCTTTAGCCAGGCAGTCCCTTAGCCTTCTCTTTCACAGCAAATGTTGTGTCAGAGTAATCATTCATCCATAGCTCAGGGTCTGCTGGTCAGCCCCAGCAAATGGGCATCTGTTGCTTTTGCCTGGCCCGTATCCATTCACCTCTTTTCCTTTTGGGAACCATTCCCTCCCTTGTCTTGGTTCATGTGGTTCTCAGGAGGCTGACTTCCACATGTCTTTCTACCCCAGCGCTGTGACCAAGGCCTGGTCGATCATAGTCCATCCCAGGACTTGTGTTAGAACTTTGGAGAAAGGTTTGTTTTCTCTGCTGAGCTGTGAGGGTGTAAAGCTTGGGCTGCTGCAAAGGGTCACTGCAAAGGATTGTCCAACTAGAGAAGGGCAGTTACACAGAGGAAGGCAGAGGCAAGAAGTAGGGGATGGCATGGTGAGAGAAAGAAACAGAGACAGGCAGAGAAACAGAGACAGAGAGACAAAGAGAACACATATATTGATGCTCTAAGGGCCTACTGGCCCCGAGGCTAGGGACCCCCACCCCAGACTCTGGAGTTCCACAAGCCATCTCATTCCCTTTCTGCTTCAGCCAGTTGGAGTTGAGCTGCCACCAGCTCCCATGCGTGTTGTTTCCAGCATGACCCACCTCCGTGTTGTTCCCGTACCACCACACGTAGGTGAGGGTGCCCACTTGGCTGGGCCACAGCACGGCGGTTGCGTTGACCTCTTTGTTCTTCGTGGTGACAAAGGGCAGGGCCAGGTGCACATGCTCCAGGGGACCTGAGGCACAAGAGGAGAGAGGAGGGATGGAGAGGGAAGAGCTTTCTCTGCTGCAACCTCTCTGCTCTAGAGAGAATACGCATGACTCGTTCTAATGCCTCCAGAACACAGCAGTCATTTTCCTGAGAAAAGTGCTCTGCAGCTTTTGCTACCTTGGAGAAAAGGATATATTGTGAATAACTACATCTCAACATTTTCCATTTACCGACTTTCTTCCAGGCCTAACATGTCTGAGTTGTTTATGTGTAAAAGTTTAAAAATTAACAAATAATTTATGAAGTCTTTAAGTGAAAAGGCATAATAGGAGGTTTGACAGGGAAACAGAGAGTCTTTCCAAGAGGTTATATCCTTGGTGATAAACCAGGATTGTGAAAAATCTCATAGACTCCATGTTGCGTGGTGCGAGAAGGAGGATAATTATTCTTTATTATTTACTGTATTTTAAAGATCTGTGTAAGTGTGTGTGTGTGTCTGTGTGTGTGTGTGTGTGTGTATGTGTGTGTATGGGCTTGTCTGTAAAGCATCTGGTTAGGTAACCATAGAAAAAACTGTGTTTGGTGTTGAGTTAAGCTTGTCCAGGACAAAGGCATGCCTGAGTGGGCAGAGAGCTCTCCGGTTCTCACTCCTCAGGATGTGCTAAACTAATCAAAGGATGATGCTATCGATGGAGGCCCCTTAGACCAGAAATCTTAATCAGATGAACAAATCTACAAAGATACCAATATCCTCCTCCTACAGAACCACTCGGACCTTTCCTAGGACCCTGACCTTCCCTTTGAGTCGCTGTTCCCAGGAAAAATGTGATTTCCTCTGAGGTTGAAAATGACAGAAATCTATCATTTCCACCATTATTCCACAAGGTGGAGAAGAAGGGGGTGCCTCGGGCCTTTCCCCCTGCTCAATCACCGCCTCTTCTTCTGCTTGACCTTTACATGTGTTTCCTGGTATACCGTCTCTGGCCTTTTCTCCCTCCACGTGCTCTTCCACTGAGTCATATCACCCACACCCTGACCTTCAACTGATGACCACATGCTACGGGCTCCAAAACCACCTTCTGGACTCCAGACTCAATTAGCAGCCAAAGGGTTCTGAGAAACGCATGATTCTCCCCCATTCTATATTCTCCATCTGTCGAATAAAACCAGTGTTTATCCAGGGGAGCAACCCAGAAGTAGAAAGTCAATCTAGATTGCTTATTTCTTACCACCCACATCCATTTAGCCCACCATTTATTTGGTTTCAGAAATATGTCTCCACTAGAACTCTTCTCACCCACCCCAATCCTGCCCTGATTCATGCACTAACCATCCCCCCTACCGGGGCCATTACCATTCTCTCACCGACTTCCTGCCTCTAACCTATACCTACATGATCCACCTGCTGCCCTACATGTTCAATGCCTGCCTCCCTCAATAACACATAAGCGGCACCCAATGCCAGGTGTCTCAGCACCTTGAATACAATATATGCTCTAGGGTGAGGGTGGAGCAAGCGCATGGACCTTGAGGGAGAGGTGGCTCTCCATGTTGGAGGAATAGTAAGAAAGCCCGAACAGCTGCAATGCAGAGATGGAAGGAAGGAGTGGAAGCCAATGAGATCTAAGAGGTATTCAGGACACGTAGCATGTCAGCCTTGTAGGCCTTGAACTATATGCGTGTGTTTGTGTAGCTTCATTCTTGCATGTATCTACATCACATATGCATACAAAGCATGGTGATGGTGAGGTACCTTCTCACCCTCCAAACTGTTCTCAGAGATTTTCCTAGAAAGCCATGTGGATTATGCTATTCACTTGCTCAAATTAAAACCCCCATTACCTAATTATAATAACAATAATAACACATATTGATGTAACATTTGTGAGACAGGAAACACAGGCTGCCAACTTGGGAGGATAAGAGCCCTGTGCATTTACCTTTAAAGATAAGGCTAGGACAGTTTCCAAGACATAGCAGATACTCGAACATTCGCTGAGTAACAAATGATATAATTTCCTGTCTCTGCTTTTGTCCATGCTTCTCTCTCTTTACAGAATTTGAGGTGAGGCTTTGTGACCAGCATACAGAATAGAATTGATTTCCTGGCTTAGAAGCCATACGATAAAAAGTCATTGGTCATAAGTCAGAATAGTTCAATGAGGTGACCAAAGGCAGCACTACTGAGGGACAGCTGTGCACCACACATTCTGCTAATGGCTTTTAATTCCCCTTTCATCCTCACAACAACCTCACGGAGCAGGCCCTGCCATCATCCCTATCTAGAGACCAACAAACAGAAAGGTGACCTTCCTTGATTCCAGGGTGTGAACTAAAGCAGCTCTATTTCAGAGCCCATGCTCTGCCAGCTGAAATTGCTCGATAAAACTCTCCCATTTTAACAAAAGAGCTAGGAAGAGTCACTAGTTACTGACGATTTAACTATGATCCAGGCACTGAAAAAAGAACTTGACACATGCTCTCAGACTTTGCATGGCTCCTGCCAGTCCCCTGTTTGCTCCAGAAGGCCATGCTGTGTTCCATCCCAGGGCCTTAGCTTTTACACCCTTCTTATGGCACCTGTCAGATTTGCAGGCTCAGTTCCAGGGTCCCCTCTTGTGCATCAGTTGTCCTGATTCCTCAGACAGATCTGAGTTAAATGAATTTGCTGGAATGCAAGTACTACACCAGCTCGGTTAGTTCCATTCTAAAGGGGTTCATTTTCTTGGTCTCTGTCACAGAGGACTTTTAACCATATTTTAAAGTCAGAACACACAGGAGGGATGATGTCTGTGTGTCCTGTTAGTGACAAAACTGAATCTTGTTACTAAAATATGGTCATTTGTTCATTTTAATGTTGGGCATTGTTCTCGGTGCTGGGACACCTGGTACTAGATGGATGTTATGTGTTAATGAGGGGGGCAGGCATGGGGTCGGTGAGAGAGTGCTGTCTTTGGCAGGCTGGTCAAGGAAACTATCTCAGAAGAAGAAATGACATTTGAGCAGTGACCTGAGTAAAGTACAGGAGGGCACCAGGTGTCTATTTGTGATGATCTGGGGTGAGGAAAGAGTAAGTGCACAGATGCTGGGGAGAGCGCTTGCCCTCCATGTGTGAGGAATAGCAAGGATGGGCTGCAGTGCAAATGGAGGGGACTGGAAGCCCCTGAGATCTGAGAGGCATTCAGGACACTCAGCATGTCTGCCTTGTGCACCCTCAGGTGTGCATGTGTGTGCTTGCGTGAACTCATTGCTGCATATTTAGACGTCCATGCTCATACGAATGTGTGCTATTTATCTTTCAAACTCCCACATCCTCTTGTATTCATTTATTTTTTAGGTGTCTAATATACTACATCTACTTCCTGCTGCCCCAAAGCCTACTCTTTAACATCTATTTCTGCACTTAGAGTGCAGTCTGCCCTAATGGATCAACGGAAGTGAACCTCCAGCCCTTGGAGGCCCCAGAGGGCTTGCTGCACCAAGACAGGAGCTGAACAAGCTGGCTGATGCCTCTCCATGACACAGGTGCTTGCAATGCCATAAAGGAACGGCAGGTGGCAGTGCATCACTCCATATGAATCTTCCTGGCAACGTGGCAGAGGGGACTGCAGAATTGTGTGAATGAGGTTTCCCTGCTCTTTTCTTGTTTAGCCCTCCTGTGCTGCATGGAACAGCTGACTTCTGAGACTGGACATCGTGTGTGTGTGTGTGTGTGTGTGTGTGTGTGTGTGTGTGTGTGTGTAAGAGAAAGAGAGAGAGAGAGAAGAGAGAGAGAGAGAAAGAGAGAGAGGGAGAAAGAGAGAGAGGGAGAGAAAGAGAGAGAGAATGTGTGTGTGTGTTCTGGAGATCTCCTCTGACTGCCAAATTAAATATTGTGTATGCATCATATTTCTGTTTGTCTGAAATGTTTCAAAATCCACCAGAAGAAACAAAAGCATAAAAGTATAAAGATGAGAACCTGAAACAGAGCTCCTTAAACTTCAGCAAGCATAAGGATCACCTTAACATGTTCAAAGCAGGTTATGCTGCCACACTTGTGGGAGTTCTAATTCACTGGGTCTGGGATGGGGCCTGGGACACTACATTTTTGTCATGTAATTTCTGGGCAGGTGACTCATTAAACCACACCTTACAAAATCGAAGTATGGCATTTGCTGGCCAATATCATGATCTTGTGAAAAGTGGCAAAGCTACACAGGATCACTAAGATGGGGGCAGAGAGGCACCTGCAAAGGGCACCTTTGTAAGGTGCCAGCTGAAGAGAGAGGTGTGGAAAGGACTAGGAAATCTACTTTATTTCTTTTACCTTCCATTCTGCAAATTTGCATTTTTCTGTGATTTTTTTTCCCCTGAAAGACTGGCTGAGCTAGGGCAGAGTTCTGAGCAGAAACCTGCATGTCCTCTAAATTCTCTGTCCCATCCAAGGCAACCCTGGCTGCACCTCAGGGGAGGGGTCTCATTAGATTGTAAATAAGCAGAGCACAGTGCATACTCTCCCCAAGGGGTTTAGGCATTTAAGGCTTCAACAGATTACCCAGCCCACCCATCCCCATGCCTAGCAACCTTTCAGCAGGAACATCCTTTCCCTTAGTTTCTCATGACCTTTGCAAACCCCTACTGAAAAGCCTCTGATTTGAAATCAAATCACCTTTCTGATCTGGAACGTGGGTGTGTGTGTGTGTGTGTGTGTGTGTGTTCAAGATGGGCAATGGGGGGAGAGTCCCAGGTGGAGGCAAGGGAGTTGGGTGAGAGGGCAGAGGGCAGGCCTGGCAAGCAGAGCTGAGTTGCTGCTGTGAACCCACTAAGTCAGTGGTTCTCAACCTTCCTAATGCCGCGACCCTTTAATACAGTTCCTCATGTTGTGGTGACCCCCAATTTCATTGTTATAAATTGAACATAATTAAAGCATAGTGATTAATCACAAAAAACAATATGTAATTATATATGTGTTTCCCGATGGTCTTAGGCGACCCTTGTGAAAGGGTCGTTCGACCCCCAAAGGGGTCGCAACCCACAGGTTGAGAACCGCTGCGACTAAGTCCAAGTGCATATGTTCCTCTGTGATCACTGACACCCAAGCTTTACTAGTGGACAGGGCGCAACAGATGAGGCTCCACAGATCCTTCCAGAAACAAACTGCTCAGAGGAAAGGAGTGACTGGACCAGGAGTTCAGGAGCCAGGAGTTCAGCCACGGCACCTCCCACTCAGTTCAGGCTCAGTTTTTGTATTTTTTTTTCTTCTAAATGCCAACCCCTACCCCACCCTGGCACTGTGACACCAAAAATTGCCAGGATACCCTTCAAGTTTGAGATTTTAGGAATACGAGTCAGTGATGGTCTTGTTCTGATTTCCTATCATAAAAGAGGTCAAAGTCACAGAACTTCTCTGATCCTTGTTTTCTCCATCTGAAAGGGCCCACGCTGCCTGCCAGGGTATCAGGGTAGAGAGGTGGGGAGAAGAGTAACACACCCTGTGGCGTTCAGGAGGAAGCGCTCAAGAACACGCTGAAAACGCTCCTAACATGGGTTTTGGATGGATGTGAATTAGTGAAAGTTGTAAAATAATCCTCTTTAATACAGTTAGTACAAAAGAGTTAATTATTGTCCCCAAGGCTGGGTTTAGAAAGGGGTTCCATTGTATGAGGCATGCTAATCCAACCTCTTAAACCAAAGTGAGTCTAACAAAATTAAAACCAGAACACAAAACTTTCCATTACAAATCACCTTCCACCAAGGTTAAGGTCAGATCATTTAGTGGCTCAACTAGGCTAATGAGACCAAACAAAATGCAAGTGAACAGAAGCTCATTTCGCTGAGCACTTATGGCTTCAACAACTTTGGGTCTTTAGCAGAGGCCAGCTCTGCACTGTTTCCCTGCCTGGATTTAGTAAACCTGGAGGGGGCTGGGGCCTGGAGGGACCCCTCAGGGATATGAGAATTTATACCATTTCTATGGGGAGAAAGAATCCACGGGGCAACCAGGAGGGAGAGCTGTGGACGACTCTGTCAGAGACCAGGAGACACAAAGCTACTGCTGAATTTTACATCAGTATTTACACGTGGTTAGAGTACAGTAGCTGTTTCATCCATATATGGGATGTGGAATAAAGCTACTGTAACTGTTAAGGAGAATAGCTCGCTAACAAAAACCCCCTTTCAGAACTGTGGACAATGATAGGCGGCTAGGAAGGCAAGCATCTTCAGCAAATGTGTTGTCACTTGGTTGCAAGTTATCTTGACAACCAATGCTTGCGTTGCATTTTTTAAAATTTTATGATCATTCCTATGATATCATCACTTGAGATTATTTGTTGGTAAGAGGCAACTCCAGAAAGTCTGAGTAGACAGCTGAGGAATGGCAGTCAGCAGTTAGCAGTTCTGAAGTGGGTCTTGAACCTACGTCACTGACTAGCAAGTGCACGGCTTCTAACTTCAATACACATGCTCCTTCAGGACAATCTGCAAACACGTGGAAGGGGGAGAAAGGCTGATGGAGACTTAGTTCCTCTAACCCCAAGCCGCTGTTGGCAGTGACAATAACCTTCATGATCAAGAGCTGGGATTTGAGGCGGGTAGGCCTGAGTCTGAAATCTGGCTCTGCCACATGGTAGGCCAACAAATTCAAATAAATTATTTAAACTCTTGGGACCCCACTGTCCTTTGAAAGTAGGGTTTCCAATAGTGCCTGCTTCACAGGGTTGCTTTGGGGACTGAGCTTGCACACATAAAGAGCCTGTCTAGCACAAAGCCTGGCGCACAGTAAGAATTAAACATTTTTAAATGAAAAGAGGGAGGTGGAGTTGGCAACCTGGGAACCTTGCAAAACTTTGTTTAAACCCAAAGAAGGTAGAGTGTCTCTTCAAAGTTCCTCTGTCATGAGGTTCCAGAGAGACAGAAGGAGAGTCATTGATAGAACAGGATTCTTCAGGAGCCCAGCGATCTCCTGGGGTCCCCTAAACAGTGTGTCCTCCACTGGACCACAGCAGCTTAAAAACACTTCAGTCAGTATATTCTGCACTCAATTTGGTTCAATGGGCAAGGGGCAGGTGAGAGGCATGGGATATTGCCTGGCCTTAATACTCTTGGCCTACAACTTGGAATTCACTTGGACAAGACCATTCATATAAAAGAGCTACAGTCATTTTAAAGTAAACTCTTTCTCTAGGAACTTAAACAAGTCCTTCACCTCTGCGGGGACATTGACAAACCTACTATAAAAGGCATTCATGGCACCGTTATTACTTAACACAACTGAGGAGCTGTCATGGACTCATCAGACTTAGCGCACCCTTAGATCTTGCAATGGGGAAAAGCATTAACGTTCCTTGGAGCTGTTTCCTAGTGTACTTTCCTTATCATTGTTTATACTCTTTCCCTCTATACCAGTGGTTCTCAACCTTCTGGCCCTTTAAATACAGTTCCTCATGTTGTGACCCAACCATAAAATTATTTTTGTTGCTACTTCATAACTGTAATGTTGCGACTGTTATGAATCGTCATGTAAATATCTGATATGAAGGATGGTCTTAGGCGACCCCTGTGAAAGGGTCATTTGACCGCCAAAGGGGTCGCGACCCACAGGTTGAGAACCGCTGCTCTATACCATCTTCTCCCTAACAACAAATCATCCCCAGACCAGAGAACACACTTTTTAAAAAGGAGCAAAAAGATTAAATAAAAGAGAGAGAGAACTCATGGACAACAGTGTGGCAATTGTGGGGGGAAGGGGTGTGGGTGGAGGTGGACAAGGGAATTAGGGGGATAAGTGGTGATGAAAACCACAAAATAAAAACATATTTAAAAGAGAGCAAAACTCTAAGAGACTATTAATAGTGAGATATAATGTAGGAGAAGAATAATCAAACGGGGAGAAATTCCTTTACTGGTGCTAATTATCAATGCATTAGATTGAGCCATGCATGTGTTTTCAAACATTTCTGACAAAAAAAATCCATATTCAATCAAATGGCTTAGCAAGTTGCTCAGGCCAAGCCCCCAGACATAGGGATTGTATCTCGGGTGCTCAGGTACCTCAATGAGGCCCAGGAAGTGCAATGAAAAAATCTGAAGCAAAGCGGAGTCCAAGATTATTCAGATTCTACTCCCTGATTTCCTTCTTACTTACTCCCCACTTGGCTCTCTTATTCTCCTTTCCCTTCCTGCTACATGTAACTAATTAGTAAGCTTCCTCTAGATATGAAATTTTAGATCATATTTTAAAAGGGCACAATATTTAAATGATGTCATAAATCAACAACAGTAATAACATACAAGTTACATGTAAGTACAGGACGGCGCTGTCAGACCCGAGACTGTTGTCCACCCGCACGGTCACTCGGAAAATGCCCACATTGTGATAGACGTGTTTGATCCCGTCTTCCATGGAGCTGAGGTTGACATACGACACTGCGATGCCATCACCGAAGTCCACTTGGATGAATGTCCTCTGAACGTCGCCCTAAAAAACAGCCCAACGTCAGAGGAAATGGAGTCTGTACTAGGGTGCTTTGCTCGGGGGCTGGGGCTTGTCCTGGTTGCTGGCTCAGGAACAATGGCAACCCTGGCTCCCTCCAGGAGCTGGGAGGATATGTCTGTGGGTGACAGAATCCCTGTGACAATCTGCAATAGCCTAGTGGCTCAACTAGGCTAATTAGACCAAACAAACAAAACAAAACAACAACAACAAACAAAAACAAAAACACAAGTGAACAGAGAAGCTCATTTCGTTTAGCAACTGTGGCTTCAGGCATTTACTAAGATGGATGTTTTCCAAATCTGAAGGGCACTGACTCTACCAAAAGTTTCCAGGTTTGAAAACTTAAGTGTCTGATCATCAACTCCAATTTGATAACCAATTCCTCTGAAGGCTTTACTTATAGGCTTACCTGCCGGCAACCAATTCCAGCATATCATAATTTCAACAGTTTCATCAAAAGGTTGATGAGACTTGGGGACTCAACAGGGTTGAGTCACACATGTAGTCACCTGTTGGGAATGGCTAAAGGCATTTCCCCACCTGAATAGGAAACTGATTGTGGCTGCCAGACAGCTAAAAGGCATCTTAATCTACATGTTATTGCCTCCTACTGGCCAAACACCTGAACAGCCGTAGGCTAATTCCCCCATTCTGACAATGGACTCTGTACCAAACCCTGACCCTTTGAAGTGTATATCTCTGCCTCGCCTCAGGACAAGTTGTGTTAATAAAAAGCATGGGATCCCGGGGATGGAGAGAACCTAAGACCTTAGACTTAAGATCTTGGATCTTGGCTCCTTTAGCTAAGCTCCTCTGACCCCCAAAAGCCTTTCAAAATTATATTTCGTCTCCGGATTCTTTATTAATCTCTGGATTCCTATGTCATCTACGCATAGCCCCTTCTCCAGATTCCTGAACCCTTCTTGATGCTGGGACAAGAACTCCATGAGAATAAAAAAGGTGTGCACAGTTTTAAATATGCTGCCTACCTGACACCGTCACAGAACACTTCCCATGTTCTTGAACCCCTGAGTCCCCTGCTTTATTTCTGGTTCCCTGACCATGCTGGAAACAGGATAGGAGACACCTTGCCTTACACCTGATATGACATTAGGCTCAGCCTTATTATTATTATTATTATTATTATTATTATTATTAATCTTCACCTGGGGCTATTTTTCCATTGATGTTTAGAGAGAGTGGAAGGAGGGAGAAAGAGAGAGAGAGAAAAATAATATCGATGTGAGAGAGACACACCAATTGGTTGCCTCCTGAATGAGGTCCCAACAAGGGCCAGGGATAGAGCCTGCAAACAAGACACATGCCCTTGATTGGGAATCCAACCCAAAACCCTTTGGTCCAAGGGCCAACAATTTAACCACTGAGCCAAACCAGATAGTGCAGTTCTATTATTATTTAAGATAATGATGGTTAATTCTTTTATACTTCAGCATTGTTTACTATCAAAATGATCTCATTCTTCACGGAATCTTATTCTGGAGAGAAAAGCAGGCTTTGTTCATCTAGCTTACAGATGAAGAAACTTCAATCATGAAAGGTTTAATCACTTGCTCAAAGTTAACAACTCTAGTTAGCACCAGCCTTGGGATTTGAACCCATCTCTCTGGGTTGCATTTCATTCATTATCTGTGGCTAACGAATTGACAGGTCCTCCAGGCTTCAATCTTAGCATGGCATTCACAAGCGAGATGATTTCCTGCCTGTCATTCTACCTCCTTTGGTCTATGAGATGGGCATAATACCTTCCTGTCTTAACTCAACCCACTGTTATAATAGAAATGGGAGTAATTAGTGATCTGTAAAATTATATACTGAAACAAATGACTATAAAAACAATGCAACTGTAGAAGACCTGCAATGCCCCTTTTAATGCTTATTTACAATCACAGGGTGCTAAATTTTCTGCAGGTGGGCAGGAAAACATAAGGTCTATACTTTAATACACTTTTATTTGTTTGTTTTGTTAGCTTTTCCCATTTTCAGGGGGAAGAGAGACCCTTTGAACTAGAAATGTATTTTCGATTAAGTGAGGTTCATATGGTATCATATTTTGAAAAGGCCAAGTTGAAAATGCTGACATTTAAAAGATTAATTCACAGGGAAAGGAAAAGCAGTTCAAATCCTATGAATCTATGGGACGTGCTCTTCTGATCTATGCCAGGCTGGGCATTGTGAGGGGGGCACACCACAGCTCTCAGTAAGGACATGGGCAAAGATTCTCCCTAGGGTGGGAAAGAAACTCCATTCACAACTGCAGAACAAGTATCTACAAGCCTAGACATTGTGCAATGACTTGGATTCCCATCACTAATAAATATAAATGCCAACCATTCTTGCTGACTTGTCCTTCATTTGTACAACCAAGGTGGACTGATCAATTTCTCATTCTTTTTTCTGGTCAGTTTCCACTCCCATGTTTTCTGAATTTTCAACAGAGTCGCTGCCAGCCAACCCTAGAAGAGCCCACCTTTAAATCTACTCACATTATTTGGGACAGGGAGATAGCAGGGGTAGTTAGGGTTACCCATGTAATAAAACAAGCAATATAGTTTCTGAGAGAGAGGGGAAGAAGGGAGGGAGGACAGGAGAGAGTGAGGACATGGAGGGGAGGAAGGAGAGAGGGAGAGAGAGATGATTCTTTGTGGGGACAGAGTAGACTTCAGGGCACCAGCATTTGTGAGATCGGGCCTCCTGATGTGGGCACAGGCCTCTGGGCTTGGTACTCCACACTAGGATGCAAGAGCCTCAAGGGGTCCAGTCTGACAGTTGACGGAAGCAGATTCATCCCTGCTGTTGTTGCTTTGCCCACTCAAGTGGAACAAACTGGATCCCATGCCTTTGCCTTCAGGGGCTCTTAAGGGCTTGGTAAGCCCAATACCATTTTAACTCCAGGACTTTGGGCTCACCTGACATCAGCTTCTGAATTCCTTGGGCTGTAATTATCATCTGAGGCAGGGATGCCAACTCCTTTCAGAGATTAAGAAACAGGGCTAAGGTTTTTATATATTATTGATTTTTTTACAGAGAAGAAGGGAGAGGGATAGAGAGTTAGAAACATCAATGAGAGAGAAACATTGATCAGCTGCCTCCTGCACAACCCCCACCAGGGATGTGCCCGCAACCAAGGTACATGCCCCTGACCGGAATCGAACCTGGGACCCTTCAGTCGGCAGACCACGGCTCTATCCACTGTGCCAAATGAGTTAGGGCAGGGCTAAGGTTTTAGAGATTAAGAAATGGTGCCAAAGTCCTAGGTCACCATTTGATTAGGCAAGCTGGCCTGGCTTTAAATGACTGTCTGCCCATCCATCCATCCATCCATCCACCCACCCACCCACCCATCCATCCATCCAACTATCCAAACAACCACCCATCTAACCACGCAACTGACAGATATTTATTGAGTGTCTATCTTGTGTCTTTCCCTACATAAGAACAATAGATATGATCAAACAAACCAAACAGATATGGTCCAGGGTTTCATGAGCATACAGATTACTAGTGAGACAAATGGCCTTTAAATAAATAATCTCAAAAGTAAACAAAAAGACATTGTAGGGGGTCATATGAAGGAGAGGGCCTGACGTTATAAACCTATACAATAGCGAGAGGTGGCATACTGAAGATCTGATCTGATTAAGAACGTAGAGAAAGGCTTATTTCCCAGAAGAAGTGATATTTGAGCTGAGGAAGCTTAAAGCAAAGGAATATATGAATCAAACAAAGGACGTGAGTGAATGTGATGGAGGCAAGGAGTCCAGGCAATGAGGACAGAGGAAACAGACATGCAAGGGACCCGTGGCAGAAGTGGGTGGCATCGTTGGAGAAGGCTGGAGATACAGACACAATAGGACCATGTTATGAAATGAGACTGGAGGGGAGAAAATAACATTTTAGGACTTGTAGGTCAAGTTTCTGATTTTGATCTTTTTCCTAAGAGCTGGGAAGCCATTCAAGTGTTTTAAGCAGGGGTTTGGGGGATAATGGCTGATATTTTTTAATTCAAAAATATCACTCTGGCTAGAATACAGAGGCTAAATTAGAAAGAGGCGATTTCTGGGAATCCAATTAAGGGAGCTCAGGGCAGATGATGGTGCATTGAAATATGAGTTGCAACAGGAAATTATATGCACCTTCCTGGCAAAATTAACTCCCATGGTTTATTAGTTTTGAAATCAGGAAATCTCAACCTTTGATATCAGCCTCTCTTACAAAAATTAAAGGAAAAACGCTGATGTCCAGCTACCATCCCAGACCCACCTCCTGGGTCAGGACCTCTGGGGAAGATGCCAGGCCCTCTGTGGTCTGAGAAGGTCTGTAACTGATGCTGGGATGCACCAAAGGTTGGGGCCCTCGGGTTCAGATTCTTGAACATTAGTTTTTTGTGGGATGGAATTCTGAAGATGAACATATAGTCCAGGACAAGCTGACACTGTCCTTATTTTATTTTGGTGGGATGCTAAAGTTTTCCCAGGATGTCTTAGGATGCCCAGTGCTAAGGGTGCATTAATAAAGTCAGACAGGAAGATCTGAATCCATTGTTGGCAACTGGTACATAAGCACAAACGGAAGTTCCAGGATCCATGCTAACTTGTCTAGGAAAACGAGCTGCTAGATGAGATGAGGGCAGTTTGTGTAAACTTCTAAGGGCCGAGGTGTGTTCTTCATGACCGTATCCTCAGTACCTAATACAGGGCCCACAGAGGATTCTTTTTCGCTGAAGAAAATTTAAATATGGTGCATCTCTAATGTTTGTTCACCAAAGTGCCTTCTTACGTATTACCTCATTTGGCTGTTAGGAATCCTGGGAGACAGCGAGGACAGGTGTCATTCCTATTTGATATTCCAGAAGAACTGGGTCACAGACAGGCTAAGTAAGATGCCTAAAGCCCCTCAGCTAGAGAGACTTAAAGAAAGGGTTTAGGATGATCTGTGGTTTAACGCTACCCATGCAGCTCAGC